AAAATGCTCAATAATCATAACATATTCAGATTCAGGACAAAGCATGGTCTCTTGGCTGTATCACACAGAAGTGGTACAGTATAGGAAATTATAACAATATTCAACAATGGTTTAAAATATGGAAAGCTTGTATCTTTGGAAGCTTTTTAGATTCCTCAGTGAAAAAACAAACAGTTGTGACAGATTACCTAAAATACCGCTTGGTTTAGGATTGCCAAACTGTGCCCGGCAACCAGTGGGAACTTAGGGGGGGGGGGGAATCAAAAGTTGGTCACAAAGCCTGGGTATCTGGGTCCCAGGCTTTTGCAGTTTAATTGACTTACACATATTCTGTTTGTAAAGTGGGTCACCACACAAAGTAAGTTTAGATTTGTGTGGGTCACCATAGCAAAATAGTGTGGGAAGCACTGCTATAGTCCAAAAGCAAAGGCCACACAATGTCTACAAGGATACTCTAACATTTTTTGGTACATTTTTATTGCTTTTTATCTCTACACACTATAGAGTATAGGGAAAAGGAATAAACTAAACTAAAATGCAGAGGAAGCAGGGATCAAAAAAAGTTATAAAATTCGGTTATATAAAGTTTCCTCATTATTTAGTTTTTACAAAATTGGAGTTTAAAAGTTAGTATTTCCATCTAAAGAAGTACAAACAAAGTTAACTGTAGTGTGTGCATCTTAGAAAGCAGACAAAGAAGAGAAATAACAGACTTTCAGGATCGGGTTAGTTAGCTGATTTTTGCCCTCCACGTTTGTTCTTATCAAAAGGCAGCTTGACCTTAAATGATTTAGAAGCCGCGCTTTTGAGGATTGAGTAGAATCGGGGAAAACAGGCGAAGCTCGCGGCTGTGCAGTACATGGTGTGAAATTGACACGTACGACTTGGGCAAAGGGAAGAACGAGCGCGGAGCAGCAGTTTGTGAGAAATCAGCCTGTGTGTGTCATTCTAGTACCAGTGCAAGGATACTACTCCCAGGGACAGTCCTTCTCTGGCGGTTACCATTCCCGTACAAGAACAATGATTCCGGGCCCGGGGACTCTCGTTCCACACAAGTTGCTGTCATTTCAGAGCAGTTTATCTGGTCCCATGTACCATCATCCCACTCTGGGGACTTTCATTCCAAGCTCAAGGCGGATTTCTTTAAATCTGCTTCATATTTTCATTCCAACGTTTCAGTACTGAAATGTATTTCAGTGTAGCCCATGCAAGTTAATTAGCATTCAAGCCTCCTATTATACACAACGGCTCTTCAGGCATGATCTCCCAGTTTTCACAACGGGCATTCTTGTCATAGTAAAACACACGGCACCCTTCCAATGCTTTTAAAGTATCACCTTACATGTGCAAACTTACTAGAAACTCACGTAGAAGCAAATTTCACATGCATTCTCCTGTTTAAATTGGAAGCAGCCGACACCATCTATGAGTAAAGTACACTTAACTTCCCACTCTCTTTCCACAGCTAACGCGCCACATACTCCTGCGCCGCTTTGCCGATTTCCCCTCTTTAAGGCTTTCTCCATTCCTCCGCCCCTTTTCCCAGCGAGCATTGCATGGCGCGTCTCAGTTGCCGCTGTTGCTAGGAAGTCTGCGCGAGCGAGCCGGTTGCTAAGGGCCGCGCTGGGAAGGTAACTCCGATCGGGGTGTCCTGGCAAGTGGCGCTTGTTGGGCGACCCCCCCCCCCCCACGCTTGCGTTTTTGTGGCGCCGCCTATTTGCATTTAAGGGAACTGCTACGGAAGTTTATTATAGAGAGCGCTCCAAATCCGTTCTTTCAGCTCACATTAAAGCTCCATCCTTCATGTGCAAGAACAAAGCCACCAGGTAAGCTCTTTGGATGCATCCCGAATACCAGGTTACTTGCATGAGCTGGTTGGGATGTACAGACTGGTTCTTTGTAGGTTTACGTGGAAGTGGGGCCCACTCGGTGGAGCTCACATCAGAGTTAAGTGTTGGAAGCTTACAGTGCCACCTACAGTTATTAGGTATCAAACCCTGTTGAACTTGGTGGAACTTAGTTCGGAGGAAACATACCTACGACCTAGTTGTACATCTGGCAAACAGTGGGGGAAGGAAATGGGTGCTGGAATATGATTGATTGGTTTGCTCCTGATTTTTCTGCAGAAGTGTGTGTGGGGGGGAGGCGGGCAGGAAACAGCTTTGGAAAAGATCTCAGACCACCTTTGTACCAGAGCAGAAAGGAAACCCAGCCAGTCCAGAGCAGGAGATGACCGGCCAAGGCAGCTGGGCAGGGTGAGGCAGGTTGTGCCTGCCCATTGCTGGGTGAGGTGAGTCCAAGGAGGCTAGAATTATGAGAGATCACTTCCCCTGGAGAAAATGGCTGCTTTGGAGGGTGGACTCTATGCAATTATATCCCATTGAGGCTCCTATGCCTAAACCCTGCCTTCCCCAGGCCCCAGGACTTTTCTAATCCAGAGCTGGCAACCCTAGGCAGGGCAGTCCCATTCTGTTCCTTACCATGGCAAGGCAGCTGCATCCCTTACTGGAAGAGAGGAGGCCAGCAGAACAGCCATGTACCCTTCCTCGCGCCAGTGAGGCCAGGAGGCCAGTGTCCTGGAATAACAGCCCCCGGAGTGGAATGATAGGGCCCCACCCCTCTGTGTGTGGGGGTGCTGACTCTGAGAACACTGAGGTGAGGCTGGCAGTCCTGTCCCTCACTGTGGTGAAGAATGGGAAAACTGGGACTGTTCCCAGTCCTCTTAATGGCCAATGTGCCCCGGTTGCTCATCTAGTTTATACTCTCTCTCTGCTCCTCCATAGCTGGGTTCTAAAAGCTCTGCAAACAACACAAGCCCAAGTGTACAGATTTAGGATTTGATGGGAATGATTGAGTAACAGATGTTAGGCCAGGTTGCAAAGTGTTCCCACAGAGTATTTCCGAGGTGAGACTCTGTGTATGTCTGTTGCAGCAAAAACTAAACAGGAGCATTGTGCAACTTAAATAGTACCATAATTTTATCATATTTTCACATAATGCATGTATGTAGTGGGATGCTTCTGAAGCATCTTTATGTGCAGGTGCAGGACTAGTAACCTTTTTTTTTTACAGATGTCCTGTATGTGTATTTCTGTATGCATGAGCACTTGTGAGCACCAGCTATACCTGATACTTCTGTCCGCTTTGCAGGGCTTTGGTGCATCTGACAGCTGTGCAGCAGCCCTGAGACTACTATTTGGGAAGATCCTCTCCTGTTATATTTATACCTTGTATAATATCTCTGTATGTAAAAGACACAAGAATCTTCTCAGGAAAAAGGTGACAACTGTGGAGGTATGTTACCTTTGAATTATACAAAATTAAGTTTTTCATTTCAGAATTGTACTTTGTAATTAGTGTACATGAACAATGACCATGCATGAGGAAGTTTTCACATCACCGAAACACAATGGAACAACAATGAGAAAGAGGGTTGTGCCCAATTTTGTATTCTCTGGACTTACTAATACTTACTTCCTTTTGAACATAAGCACACTATAATTGGTTAACTGTGAATGCAATTGAGTTGCTCTTAATTTCTTTAGGCATGAAACTGAAATCAATTAAGCCTATAATCTGCTCCTTGTTCCTCCTGTTTTCAGTGCCAGCAAAGTAAACCATATAACAATGTATTAATATATTATTGTGAACATCACATTCTCTGTGTGATTAAATATTTTGCCTGGCTGACACAAAGGCATGTAACCTTTGGTACTACATCAGCAATAGTTTTCTGCTAGTTATTAAACTTTCCTAATGTGGGTTTCTGCCAACTGTTTCCTTTTTTCCACCTGTTCTGTCCTGTCCAGAGATGCCTATTAATTGGATTAAGAAGGTCTTTTGTTTTTTTATTCTTTGTCAGTATTGCCAGATATATATAAGCTCTTGTATTTTTATAAAGGATTTTGCACAAAACATAAATTCCTCTATGCATCTTTCTGCAAATATACAAGGTCAGGATTGCTAATTGCAGTATGCTAGTTATTCTCAATGTGGGTAGAACATGCTGAATAATGATGCTTTACTATAGTTCAGTGAGATACAAAGGAAAGTTCTAGCTGTGCAGCCATCAGCCTTTATTGTAGCAACAGAGTATGCTGTAGTTTCCATTGTGTCTGTGTAGATTGCAGAGACTGTCATTGGGTTAGGAACAGCTGAAAAAGGTTTTAAAAAATGGTTGTGGGATTTGGTTTTTGCAGAGAAGAGGAAAACTGTACCCCGCTGTACCCTGCTGAAGTACTATCCATTTCCTAGTATAGTGAGAAGATTCCAGAATCATTTCGTTTCTTTGGACAAGCAAGCATGGAAGACTTGTAATATTTGTTTATATACAAGCTGAGCATAGTGGAGGGAGGAGGGGCCGGCGTGGCGAGAATGGTTGACACTGGGAAGCTCTCCCGTGTGTCGGCCGGATCGATGGTTTTTTAGAGGAGCACAGAGGAGGCTCCCAAAGAGGAGCACAGTGCAAGGGGCTTGATCAGGACTGCCTGCAAGCGGCAGCAAGCGGGTGGGAGTCCTTTGATTGCCCCAAGGCAAGAACCGATTGAGAGCGCCTATGCCAGGCATGGGTGCGAAGCTGTGACCACAAGAGTGAGGGGGAGAAGCAGAAAACTTCAACTGGACTGAACACCAACACCATGAGTAAATGTACAAGCAACAACATCAGAGAATCCCCAGTGGCCTGTGGCCTGGACTCATCTCTAAGAAGGTGCCAGTCCAGGAGGAGGCCCCAGGTATGAGAACAGTCACAGTGGGCAGAAACTAAGGCAACAGAGTCTGAGGCTGCCTGCCCCCCTCAGTTGCTGCTGACACCCCAGGCCTGGCATGATTCCCATTGTCGCTGCTCCCTTAAGATCCTGTTACCTGCCTTCCCCAACATTGTGTCCCCCTTGGTCCCAAGCAGCTCCCAATGTGATCGTTGCACCCCCAATCCCACAAGTTCCTTGCTGATCCCTGTTTACGAATATTTAATAGCCAGGTTCTCTCTCTCTCTCTTTCAGATGTCTCATTTTTCTAGTGAAGATGAAGCTGTTTTGCAATCGATGCTCAGACAGTTACTGCAAAGCGTCAAAGAGAAAATTACAGGAGCACCATCAGTTGAGTGTTCAGAAGAGATTTTGCTGCATTTGGAAGAAACTGATGAAAACTTTCATAAGTAAGTTTTTGTTTGTCTAATGCCATTAGTGAAGGAGGGTAGACTGTAACAGTATGTTGCTAGCTTATTTGTAAACATATGCATCTTTAGAATGCATTTAGAAGCAACCACAGTTTTAAATTTCAGTGTTATGAATTATGCTTACCACTCTCATAAGGATGTACAACTATGGGAAAATTTGAAAAAAGAAGACTTGCAGTAATGTTTCTGGTTGCTACTTAGCACCATTTTGCTAATATGCATAGATAGGGTAAGTCAGTTGATTAAAATCAAGCCTTTACATTTCAGCAGATGAATATAAAAGAAATAATCACCTTGCAACAATGTTTCCAATCCCCCTATCTTTGCTTGCCTGTGTATTATAAGTCAGCATAATGAGTGGTTCTGGCTAGCTATTGGTCTGAAGGAGTTACTGCTTGGACCATGTCAGTGCACAAACTGCAGTTACTTTGGCATGACCTATTAAGTTCTCAGGCCCATGCAGGGTTCTTTTGTCCTTATGTGTAATATCTGAAAGAGCTTCTGAGAAATGGGCTTGTGCAGTGGGAAAAAAATCTGACATATCCTCAAGTTTTGCTTTTGTGTGTGTGTTTTGTGCAGCAGTTAGATGGAAAATCACTTTCCAATTTCATTTAACAGACAAGTAACACATTCTATTGAAGGTCAGTGGGAGAGGAATACCTAGTTACTGTCCCAGATCTTCTTTATTAATCTTCCATGCTTCTTTATTAATCTTTCATGCTGCCTCTGGAATTCATTGAAGATTTTAATGGTAGCTTGATGAGAGAAGTTATATGATGATGATAAAGATGATTTGAAATGCAGCAGTGTAAAACAATCTACATTTTTTTCTGAATATTTTTTGCAGTTATGAATTTGTGAAATATCTTAGACAGTATATAAGTAGCACCCTGGGCTCTGTAATAGAAGAAGAAACTGAGAAATGTACGTCTGCACAAAATCAGGGTGAAGGAACTGGCTATGATACACTTGTACAGCATGTTACTAAAAAGACCCGAGAATCAAAAGAGTGAGTAGATGTGAAAGAATGCATATAAAACCCATTTTACAAAACTGACTGTCTGCCAAGTCATCTCGCTCAGCTGTTCTTGCCTCCTTAATTTTGATTTTATAGTTACTGGTAACACTGTTCTAAAAGTTTATTGTCATTATAAATCTGCAAGATTTACTGCTTAGTATTTTGTTCATGAACAGTTTCTTATAGGCTCACTTGAGACATCATTCAAAACCATGGTTTAATTTAACTACTTGGTTTACTATTCACAGTTAGTCTTAACCACATTGTCTTTTGATATCTGAATGCACACATAATGGCATAATATCAGTTTAATTCTGCCTTGTTTTCTGACAACACTTTCCTGGGAGACAGAGAAAGTACAAAGGAAAATAATAGAAGCCATGTTAAAAAGGTAAAGGTAAAGGTTCCCTTGCTCGAAAGCCAGTCGAATCCGACTCTAGGGTTGCGGTGCTCATCTCCGTTTCAAAGCCGAAGAGCCAGCGTTGTCCGAAGACGTTTCCGTGGTCATGTGGTCAGCATGACTAAACACCAAGGCACACGGAATGCTGTTACCTTCCCACCGAAGTGGTACCTATTCATCTACTTGCAATTTCTTGCTTTCGAACTGCTAGGTTGGCAGGAGCTGGAACTAGAGATGGGAGCTCACTCCATCATGCGGCACCCAGGTCTCGAACTGCTGACCTTCCATAGCCTGCAATTCAGCATCTTAACCATTTGAGCCACCGCAGCTCCTTAGAAACCATGTTAGATCAGGCCAAAAAACAGGTTCCATCAGGAGATCCACCAGCAAGGCCAGAACTCCAGAAGCCCTCCCACTGTTGCCCCCCAAGCACCAGAGCATTGCTGTCTTAGATATTGTGTTCCATCTATCTATACCTTGTGGTTAATAGCCACTGATGGACCTCTGGTCCATATGTTTATTCAATCCCCTCTTGAAACTGTCTATACTTTTAGCGTCCACCAGTGTCCACTCTAAACTGAGTTAGTGTGAGCTAGCTCACAGTTTTTTAGCCTCTGGCTCACACATTTTTGTCTTGGCTCAGGAAGGATGGCTCCAGAGCAAACTAAGTTATGCAGTAGCCAAATCACTCGCTCATAACTCTAATGCCAGTAGCTCACAAAGTAGAATTTTTGCTCACAAGACTCCACAGCTTAGAGGGAGGTGTCCACCAATTCCTGCAGCAGAGAATGCCACGTGATAATTACTCTCTGGGTGAAGAAGTACGTCCTTTTATCTGTTCTAAGCCTACTCCTCATTAATTTCATTGACGTCCATGAGTTCTTGTATTGTGAGAAAGGGATAAAAGTACTTTTTCTACCTTCTCTATCCCATGTATAATTTTGTAAACCTCTATCATGTCACCCCTCAATTGTTTCTCCCAGCTGAAGAGCCCTAACATCTTGAACCTTTCTTGATAGGGAAGGTGTTCCATCCCCTTAATCATTTTAGTTGCCCTTTTCTGCACCTTTTCCAGTGCTATAATATCCTTTTTGAGGTGCATTGACCAGAACTGTACACAGTAATCCAAATGAGGCTGCACTATAGATTTATACAGGGGCATTATGATACTGGCTGATTTGTTTTCAGTCTCCTTCCTAATAATCCCCAGCATAGCATTTGCCTTTTTTATTGCAGTCTCACAGTGAGTCATCACCAAGATTTCTCTCCTGGTTAGTTACCACCAATTTGGACCCCATCGGTATATATTTATAGTTAGGATTTTGGGCTCCAATGTGCATTACTTTGCACTGGCTCACATTGAACCTCATTTGCCACATTGACGTCTACTTGCCCAACCTCGAAAGATTCCTTTGGAGCACTTTGCAGTCCTCCCTGGTTCTCACTGCCCTGAACAATTTAGTGTCACCTGCAAACTTAGCCCCATCACTGCTTACTTCCAACTCCAAATCATTAACGAACGAGTTAAAAATTACTGGACTAATACCAAGCCCTGTGGTACCCCACTGCTTACTATCTTCCACTGTGAAAACTGTCCATTTATACTCAATCTCTATTTTCTGTTAATTAACCAGTTTTGATCCCACAAAGAGTTCTTGTTCTCTTATCTCATGACTGTTAAGTTGACGTAGGAGCCTTTGATGAGGAACTTTATAGAAAGCTTTCTGGAAGTCTAGGTAAACAACATCTTCTGGGTCACCCCTGTCCAAGTTTGTTCACCCCCTCAAAGAACTCTAAAAGGTTAGTGAGACAAGATCTTCCTTTACAGAATCCATGCTGATTCATCCTCCGTAGCTTTTGTTCATCAATGTGCCTACTAATTCTATCTTTAATAACAGATTCCATCCACTTACCTGGTATTAATGTTAGACTGACTGGCCTGTAATTTCTTGGATCTCCTCTGGAACCTTTTAAAAAGATGAACGTTACATTATTTACCTTCTAGTCCTTGGGAATGAAGGCAGATTTTAGGGATAGATTGCATATTTTTGTTAGGAGATCCACAAGCTCATGTTTGAGTTCTTTCAGAACTCTTGGATGTATGCCATCTGGACCTGGTGATTTGTCAGTTTTTAATTTTTTGATCAGTCATAGGACCTCCTCTCTCGTCACCTCAATCCAGCTCAGGTGTTTCGAAATCCCTCCTGAAACTGGCAGTTCTGGAGTGGGCATGCACCTCCCATCTTCCACGGTGAAGACAGAGGCAATAAATGCATTCACCTTCTCTACCATTTCCCTATCATCCTTTAGTAATCCTTTTAGCCCTTGGTCATCCAATGGCCCACTGCCTCCCTGGCTGGTTTTCTGTTTCTAATGTATTGGAAGACATTTTTATTTTTGATCTTTATGTTTTTTGCAATATGTTCCTCATAGTTCCTTTTTGCCTGTCTGATCACCGACTTGCATTTTATTTGCCAAAGCCTGTGCTTCCTTTTGTTTACCTCACTCAGACAAGCTTTCCACCACTTAAAGGAAACCTTTTATTGCTTCCATTACTTTGTTCGTTAACTATGCAGGCCTATTTGTACCTTTCCTAAGTTGCAGTATACATTGTATCTGAGCTTCCAGTGTTGTAGTTTTAAATACTCTCCAAGCTTCCCTCCTTACCTTTCCTTTCAGTTTCTTCTTCACAAGTCCCCTCATTTGAGAGAAGTAACCCCTTCTAAAGATGTGGTTGTGTTGATCTTTTGGGACAACTCACTATTTACATAAACGCTAAACTTAATAACATTACGGTCACTGTTCCCAACTGGTACTATCACATTTACATCTTTCACCAGATCCTGAGCATTACTTAGGACTATGTCCAGGATTGCCTCCCCCTGGTAGGTTCTGTGACCATCTGTTCCATAACCAAACAAAGGTTAGTGGAAAGGAGGGCCAATATTAAAACCTTTACATAAAAAGAGGTACATGTATTTATTAATAATATCAAATTAAAACATATATAGGGGCCCAATTATAACCAATATATATAAAACATAACCATAACCAGGGCTAAAAGAGTTGACCTGACGCGTTTCGGCCGAATCGGCCTTCCTCAGAGGTCATACAAGTGTGGCTAGATGGTAAATAGTTACATTCATAAAAACACAATCAGGAATACATACAAACTATAAATTCAACAAGGACCATAAAGTAAATTGTTCAGAAGTAAAATAACCAGGCACAGGATAAATATGCACATGAAACCTTTTTAGTGCAATCACTAACACAGTGATTATAAAATCCACTTCAGAAGTAAAATAACCAGGCACAGGATAAATATGCACATGAAACCTTTTTAGTGCAATCACTAGCCCAGTGATTATAAAATCCACCTATGGTCCACAAATAACCTTCTTTGATTGTGTTGCCACAATATTCACAAGTATTCCTGACTTGAGCACATATTGAACCAGTCATTGTGTGGGTACTTAAAATCACCTATTATGATACATGTATTTTTGCTAGCTGCTCTCCTTAAATCTTTTGCTGTTTTTGAATCCTCTTCTAGCCTTTGCTCTAGTGGGCAATAACAAACAACCAGAGTTAAGCTTCCTTTTGGGCCCACTATTTCCACCCATAGTATTTCCATAACCAAATCTGTTTCTCTTAGATTCTCTTTTATTTTTTAAAATATTTTTTATTATTTTCTGATTACAAATACTACAAAAAACACTACAAACACTAACACTAACCTAAATAAGCTATACAAGGATCATATATAATGATTAGATACATATTTAGCTAAAGCTCTTTCTATAAAGAAATAGTTTTTGGAATATAGCTAATTTCTACTGCTTCTATTACAGACTGGTAAATATATAATTGAATCAAGTAAATACAAACAATAAAGCTTTTAGGCTTATGCAATTCTATTAAATCTGTTTCTTCCCTTTATTTTTCTTCTTTTCATATTTCCATTTGACTTTCAGGACTTTTGGAACTACCTCCCCTAATTCTGATTCAGAGTCTTCTTCTGGGTTACTACTTGCTGTTGATTTCGAATCTCCCGACCCATGTGTGCTGCTTTTTTCTTCGATATCTTGTTCCTCTGCTGTATCTTTATTCACTGGTTTTTGTTGATGTTCCAAGAATATCTTCACTTTTAAAACAGAGTCTATCTTTTCTTTTTTCTTTTTGTAATTGAAGACCAGTCCTTTGGGTATTATCCATCTGTAGGGGATGGAGTTTTTCTGCAAAAAGCCGGTTAAATTTTTGTATTGGATCCTCTTCTTTCTTATTTCAAATAGAATGTCTTTTAAGACTCCGATTTCTTCGTCTTTAATTTTTAAGGTAGTCCCATTTGTGGCTTTGAGCACCGCGTCTCTTGTTGATCTTTTAGAGAATCTTGCCACTATCTCCCCAGGCAGGCTCTTTTTCTTAATAAATTCTGGATATGTCCAGTAGACCAAATCCAGATCACTTTGCAATATGTCCGCCGTTAAACCTGTCATTGAGGCCAACACTTCACTTAATATTTATTTGAGATTCTCGTCTTGCTGTTCAGGAACACCTTGAAATCTCAGACCATACGCTGATTTTTCCATTTA